AATGCAGTTGCTCGGGCATCAGGGGTCAACATATCACATCATGCTCAGTGATCTGATGAGGATCAAAGGTTAATCGATTGAACCCAAACATCTGCAGCAAGTATTTTCAATCAAGGCTGGGATTATTGCACAAGCGGATGAATATTAGAAAGTGGCGAAATTTGAATTAAGCAAGCATCGCAGAACAAGATTACAAATCCCTAAAAGATCACTCAAAGGGGCTCGTATCCATTCCATGCATACTCATGAGGCAAAAACGACAGAGAAAACCTGAAACGATTTACAAGGACAGTTCGACAGTGCCGCAACAAAACTAGCCAAAGCAGAAATCAAAATTATACAGATAAGTGGAAGAAGAAACCTCATCCCACACATAGCTGCTCTCTCTCTCTCTCTCTCTCTCCCTCTCTCTCTACAGTCCCCGATGTGGGCAGTCCGTCGCCACGCATCAACACAGAGTTGTCACCCCGCTTGGTTCGAGCATGCAAGCCAGGTTCGCCCGTGCACCACAGTCCGTCGCGGCCCGTACGTCAACCCCGCATACCCGACGCCAGCTCGTCGGATTGCCCAACTCTCTCGTCGACTCACCTCTCAAGCTGACTCATTAGCCGACCCTCACTGATCTCGCTAACTCCAATGTTCATAGAGAGCAATCTAATCGCGCTTGCGAAATTTAAAGCATGCATACTTGCGCGAAAGATACGGGATTAGGCCTAAGTGAGAGAGGGGAGGGAAAGGAGGAAGTGCCTACGTTTGGCATGGCCAGGCCACGGCGTGGGGGGCGTAGCCACTCTCCACGAATCGATCTAAGCATGCAACGCCTTTGCCAATCAGATCGTAGGGATGCGCATGCATAGCCTGGAGAAAGGGGGCGGGAAGAAAACGAGAGCAAGAAGAGAGATATAGTTACAATTGCGCCCGCCAAAATTAGAGTTACACGCAAGATTAAGGGCGCGATCCAGTCAGAGCCCAGTTCCTAGGGCGGCCAGATGCGCGCAAGCAATGAGCGCAGCGCAGCAAAAATTTAGAGTACCTACGCGCAGCGCAGAAAAAATTTAGAGTACCTAAATTCCTAGTCTAAGACCTAAATCAAAAGGAAAATTCCGAAAAGAACAATTCTGAGAGCCCGTGGGGGCTCTGTATCAGTTGAAAATTCAAAAACGATATTCCCGTGCGATCATCGCACCGAAACTCCCCGGTGCTTATAGCAGGACAAGAAAGAAGCTTTGGCAGCCGTTATTCCTCGCGCTCACTTAGGCGTGGATTCTCAAATCGCCGGCGAGGGACCTTCCCGACGTCAGCCCAACAGTCTCCACAAAAAACAAAAAGGAGAATAAAAAAGAAAAGAGGGCATCCATGCAACTTGCCCCGCCATCCCGAGCTTGATCACACCTATGTTTTGGCAGCTGGTCTTTTGCTCTGTCAAAAGGTTGGGATTCCGATGGGAAAGTCATCAAGCCCTGCTTTGGCTTGTTTTTTATGTGCATACAATTAATTTGTTTTTTTGTCCAGCTTGGGTGGGGATCAGAGATTGTTTCGTGGAGTTAGGTTAGTGGATGATGTCTGGGTATTCGTGATTTACAGAAAGGGTGATAGATGTTTCTATGACAGAGGGTTGCGGATCGTTGACTCCTTCAGCCACTGCTATGACAACAATCTCGTTTTAGAGAAGACGAATGAGGAGGGCTGTTGGGATTTCCTCGGGTGCGTTTTCAAGGTGTTTGTAGGGAAGACTGGGGTAATGTGCTTTCCTATTACTAAGAATCAGAGGGGAGATGTAAATGGGAGATTGACGTTTCAGAACGTTCAGGATTTTTCATCCTTTACCAGCCGTCAACAAAAGATGGTAGTGGTCACTTCTTTTTTCCACCGTGCTAAGACTTATTCGTCTATCTAAGGGATGGTATTCCCTTTTCTTCTCTCTTTGAAAGTCGAATTGTGGACGCGGGGTTACCGTGTTTACTTTTTTCACCCAGGTTTGGTCAACTTTTCGAGGAAATTCGCAGGACTTTGAACAGCGATTTCGTCAAAACGGACATTTTATATTTTTTTAACGAAATTGAAACCCATTTATTTGGCCCAAAACATATCACCGTTTATTTCCTCAGGGGCCATTCGGACTTTTACGGAAGTTCAGGTACATCCAAGGGGGACCCCAAGGAGCTAAAATGGTGACATTTTCAGGGCAAAATAAGTGGGTTTCAATTTCGTTCAAAAAATATAAAATGTCTGTTTTAACGAAATCTCTGTTTTTGGAAGGAATGGATACTGGTATTAACAGACTGGGGTCTTTTTCTGTGTTGAACCTTCGATTTAGGGGTCTATGTCTGTCTTGAGGTAGGGAGTTATTCCTGTGGTTCTCTAAAGGCTGGCTTGATTAGTACTGCAGGATAGGAATGGTGGGTGGAAGGAATGGATATGGATACCTGTATTAACAGACTGGGGTCTATTTTTGTTTTCGGTCTATCTGAGGTCCTGTCTTTTCAAAGTATGTGCAGACTTTTCGGTTGGGACTGTGAAGGTCAGGTTTCTATCTGTGGTTCTGTGGGTTCATAGTAATGTTTCTTCCAAAGACTGTCCTATGGATTTGATCCGGTGACCTGTTAGCCTAGGCTCTGTTGTATTTCAATAGTCTCTAGGGTGTAGTGGTAAATTGGTACTTGGTTGTGATAATTGGTAGAAAGAGCCCACGCCAAAACCTTTTCGGTTTTGGGCGCCCAAAGTTCGGCCGTTTGGTACTACCGGCCCAAACAACTTTCCCCTGGGTGAAAGCGCCGTGGCCACATCGCCCTGGGACTGTTTTTACGGGTTCAAGAATTCGGTGCTGTTTCTGAGCCAGATTCATGTACCGGTAGGGCCCTTCTTTTTCAAAATGGCGTACGTGGTTCAATACCTCAGCGTTACCATCGCCTGCCTCTTTTACATCAAAATGAATCTGGCCCTGTTATGAGCCAGGTTCATGATCCGGTAGGGCGTGGGCCTGTAGTACCCCAAATGCAAGTCATTGGGCCGGTAGCACCAAACGGCTAAACTTCGGGCGGCCAAAACCGACAAGGTCTTGGCGTGGGCGCCTTCTACCGATTATCCCTACTTCGTTTGTAAGGGCTGTGGGTATCCCTACTTCGTTTGTAAGGGCTGTGGGTATTCGGACTCCTGGTGTTTGGCGGTAATGGAACGTGGCCCTTTTTTTTTTTTTTTTTTTTTTTTTTTTT